AAGAATAGATAGTTGGTAGAACTAAATCTTTTAGTCGTTCTTAAAGAACAGATGATCGGTAGAACTAAATCTTTTAGTCGTTCTTAAAGAACAGATGATCGGTAGAACTAAATCTTTAAGTCGTTCTTAAAGAACAGATAGTCGGTAGAATTAAAACTTTTGGTCATTCTTAAAGATACATAGTTGGTAGAACTAAAGTTTTTAATCGTTCTCTTAGAATAGATAGTCGGTAGAACTAAATCTTTAAGTCGTTCTTAACGGACAGATAGTCGATAGAACTAAATCTTTAAGTCGTTCTTAACGGACAGATAGTCGATAGAACTAAAGCTTTAAGTCGTTCTTAAAGAATAGGTAGTTAGTAAAACTAAGATGCTCTTGAACATTCTTAAAATCGATAGAACAAAATATTTGCTTTTTCTTAAAAATAAGTATCTTATAGATCTAAAATGTGTTTGGGCATTCTTGAAAAATAGGTAACTGATAGAAGTAAAACGGTTTTGAGCATTTCTGAAGAACGTGTATTTACTAGAAGTAGGAAGATTATGGATTTTTTTAATAAAACGTGTTGCTTGTAGAAGTAATAAATTTTTAGTGTTTTTATTGATTGTGTAATTGGTAGAAACTAAGAAGCCATTAAGTATTCTTATAGAAATTGTAGATAGTGGAAACTAGAAAGTTTATTTGATTTTCTTATAGATCGTGTAGTTGGTAGAAAATACTAAACTGTCGGAAATACATGTCGAATGATTATTTGATAAAACTAAGAAACTATTGGACATTCTTATCGAATATGTAGCTGATAGAAACAAATAGGTCTTTGGACATTTTTATGGAATATGTAGTTAGCATAAATAAGACAGTGTCACCAGCTTACAGCCTGAACTCCATTCAAACTGATAATATTTAATATTTCCCAAAATAATACCTTATGTTTCTTAAGAAGGTAGACTGTTAAGAATACAACCAAAGCCATAACGATTACCCGAGAAGCCAAACCATAGCTTACATTACTTGAGAAGGATAGTGAATAAGAATCTGTAGAATACTATTTTACTTTGTGAAGTAGACAATAAAGATATTATTATCTCAACTGTACCTTCCTCTACTACAGATATAAATATCAATCACAACAATAGATAATAATTTCAATTTTAACTTTGGTGAAAAAGAAAAAAATAATAATATATATACATATATTTATAGTAAGAATATGCACCAAACAATACCTTTTGCTGCTAGAGATTGAGAAGGTCGACTATAGTAATAATATATACCAAAATAAACGTTTCATTACTATAGGGGTAGATCAGTCAGAATAGACTAGTATTAGTAAGAATAACATCACAGCGATACTATCTATTGCTACAGAAAAGAAACGAGTGTAAAATATGTAGTTTCTGTCATAACCATGGCTTTATTTCTATAGATAAATAATCAATAAGCGTAAGTCAGTAAAACCAGCATTCATTATACAAGTACAAGTGGAATGGGCTGAACAGAAAAATATCAGTAAATATTTGTATGAGACATCTACGCTTGTACGCCAAAGTTTATTACCAAATCTTGTTCCCATAGCTTGCGGGTAAAGGAGCTGGCCCACGCGATTAAATGTGCATGAAATTCGTTTACCGCATGGTAAAATACCTACAGATGTTTAAGTAAACAATTTCACGTTTGTTGATCCAGATATTGTGTTTACTGCATGATCGAGCTCATCAGTTATTAAAACATTAGTTCATGATTAGTTGTTGATGTTGAGGGTTGATTAGAAATACTAACAAACTAAAGAAAAGTTAAATATGAAATGTTAGATATCATTAAAACCCAGTTTATACGCATTAATGTCGTTACTAAAAATAAGGAGCGTTGTGAAGGACATGACAACGACGTTCATCTTTTTGCTGACCAAGTTTGTGAAACGAGGATATAATGTTGGAAACTGAAACGGAAAGATACCGTTGTCTTGTCTGCAAACGTTGGAAACTGAAATTGACAGATACCGTTGTCTGCAACTCTTCAAACTGAGATAAAGAGACATTTCAAAACAAGGACAGGTACGTAAAACAAGGACAGGTACGTAAAACAAGGACAGGTACGTAAATACCTTTGACGGAAATTTTC